AAACTTAATATTCCGCAGGTAGCTATAAACTTAACATTCCGCAGGTATAAACTTACTATTCCGCAGGCATAAACTTGACATTCCGCAGGTATGAACTTAATATTCCGCAGGTATAAACTTAATATTCCGCAGATATAAACTTAACATTCCGCAGGCATAAACTTAATATTCCGCAGGTGTACACTTAACATTCCGCAGGTATAAACTTAACATTCCGCAGGTATGAACTTAACATTCCGCAGGTATAAACTTAGCATTCCGCAGGTATAAACTTACTATTCCGCAGGTAGCTATAAACTTAACATTCCGCAGGTATAAACTTACTATTCCGCAGGTATAAACTTAACATTCCGCAGGTATAAACTTAATATTCCGCAGGTTGCTATAAAGTTAACATTCCGCAGGTATAAACTTACTATTCCGCAGGTATGAACTTAACATTCCGCAGGTATAAACTTAATATTCCGCAAGTATAAACTTAATATTCCGCAGGTATAAACTTGACTTTCAGCAACAAAGCAATTATTTTGCCAGGCTATTAGGGACCGGTCATTATTTATGGCGGGGGGTGGCACCGAAGAGAAATGTTTTTCGTAGCAAAAATTTTGCTGATCCAACCATTAAAAAGTAAACAAAATTGATTACCCAACCTCAAATATCAATTAAAAAATAAATACCCACCCCTGGCCAAAAAATTTACAAAAGGTACTATTCAGTTGTCACATATGTCCTTTACCACTTCTGTGACATAAGTTTGATAATGGATTGTGAAATTTTCTGCAGTCTGAAGTTTCATGTTGTCTGCACATGTAGCTACTTTCTTTGGAGATCCCATCGGAAATTGATCAAGATAATGACTCTGATTGATATATACTTTTCGTTGTTTCTTTACACATTTAGTAAATCTTAGTATAACACCAAGTTCATCAATTGCTGCTATTTTGCTAGCAAATCCATGTATAATAAACCCGGGTGTTTTGCAATCAAAAGTGATGCAACCTGGATAGTGGAATAAGTTGATTACTGTAGGCACAATTTTTGGCCACTTAAGGTGGCTCGATACAGTTTTCAAAAATTCAAGTGTTCAACACTTTGACATGTTCAAACTACGCATTTTTAGGATTTATTCAGCAGATATTGTTATTTTTATATATTTTGATATCTCAACTTTCAAATTATACAAGTTTTAGTAACAGATAGTTTGTTGCTATGACGACATACGTGTACGAAATTCACTCCAAAATGGCCTATCGTCACGTATAGTTGGAAAAAAAGCATGGTGACCCCCAATTATTTTTCGTGCATTATTTTACTTGGACGAAAAGCTAACAATTAGCAAAATATAAAAAAATTCTGTAATGCCATTTTTTTGGAAAATGCGAAAATGTCATATTCTTCGGTAAAATTTTTTTAGCATTACAGAATTTTTTTATTTTTTGTATAATGAAAGTTTTTAGCGGTACAATACAGCATGCAAAATATGAACATAGGTCACCAGACAAAATAAAGAGATATAGCGCATTGTTTTTCTAAAATGGAAAATTCTAATGACGTCAGCAATTGACATAAAATGCTATAGAACACGCGCAATGGCGTGATATGGCGCGAGCAACCGCTCACGTCAGGTCATTTTAGAAGTTCTTTCATTTTGTTAATCAGTTTCCACGACCTGCGCGTAAAAATGGTCACCCAGTTTTGAGTTCGCGACTCTTGAGCAGGGTTTTTGTGATAACTATATCGAGCCACCTTAATAGTCAAAGGTCATGCATAAATAAGAACAGTCTTTAATATTACCGCCTTACGGAGACTTTATATTAATTGTGCTACTCTAGGATCTAGAAGGTCCTAGAAGAACCATAGGTCCCATACTTGACTAGCAACATAATCAAGTTAGTTATGTTAATTCATTATATATAGGATCAATGTTAAAGGCAAGGTGGGCTATAAGCTATAATCATTTGTATGGCTTATACAGGGTGTATCAAAAAAAAGGAGACCTTTAGAAATCAAGCATATTGTTAAAATTTGAATGCCTTTTCAATTGCAATATGCTGAACCGTGGTGCGTGAAATATTGATGGAGTGCATATATTATAGAAAAAGGAGACCTTTAGAAATCAGCCATTGTTATAATTTGAATCCTGGAGCACTTTGCTAAGCCCACGAGTTATTTCAATTTCTAAAGGTCTCCTTTTTCTAATATATGCACTCCATAAATAGTTCACGCACTACGGTTCAGCATATGTGCAATTAAAAAGGCATTCACATTTTAACAATATGCTTGATTTCTAAAGGTCTCCTTTTTTTTGATACACCCTGTACGTAGAAGGCTAATTGCCGTGAATAAATTGAATAATGAATGTAGCACAATATTAAATAGTTGCATGATGACGTCAAAGAAACTAGTCAGACTACATTTGCAAGTTTTGCAACTCTCATCGCTTAAATTCCCCATACCTGAATACAAAATAAACAGTAAACAACAATTACCTTTTACATACCATATATAAAACGGAGTTTTCATCCTTTCTAGAAACTCACTTCCTGAACTTTTGAGCGCAAATGTAATGTATTAAAAATGTATATCATATTCACAGCGGTTAATACCATTAATATATCGCGGGCGCAATACACAAAACACGAGAATTTTAAAATGTTTTGATTTGCAAATAAATAAATAATATTTGATGTCATAAAAATTTTTAAATTTAACTCAACACAAACTGGTAAGTTCATGACATGTATAATTTACTTATATGTTGTTATATTGCAATTCTGTACCCTACTCCTTTGAAAATTATTTGCAATTGCATATGATGTGAACATGTGGTCATGTATTATAGTTGTGTCATGAATTTAATAATACCCCAATGGCTTCGAAATAGACAATGGATGGAAAAAGTCATGAATATTGAGCTTATTTACCCTTTAAACACTTGATCGTCATGCGCATACAGTGTATTGTTTGTTTCCAGAACCCCCTCAAGCAGACTTCAACTTTTTTTGTTAAATTGTATATTTTGCTTCATACACTGCATGTGTGTGTGTTTGTGGGAACACTCATGTTTGGATGCTTGGCATAGGTTAATGGTAATTTCATTGGAGTCATCAGGGATATAGTTGTATATTCCTGAAATTACCACTAAACACCTAAAACAGCATTCCCTAAAATTTTAATTGTTTTCTTACATTGCCCTATATCGCTCAAACTCGCATTGCTTAAATTGCAGATTTTGCTTAAATCACCTAAAATTGCTTAAACTTGCATTATCTCGTTATCGCCCCAGAGTAGGGCCTACTGTTGCCATTGCTTTTTAGTCCCCAATACTTCAGTGAGTCATGCTTTGGAAATGACAATAATTTTTTATTACCCAACCCTTGAGTTGTTTTGTTTTTCATTTACCCAACCTTTTACTTACTCAAAATTTAGTTTACCCAACCCTTTTCTCTTCGGTGCCACCCCCCACCATAAATAATGACCGGTCCCTTATTATAGTTTTACGGCATTTTTAAGGAGGAGAAGCAACATTAAAAGAAATTAAAGTGCACATGGCCCCTGTGGGCCACCGTATATAAGCCATACATTTTCCGATAACGACAAAACGCTTGTGTAGCTTTTAGTCGCTCTCAGTGACTAATAATTTTTTTTTATAGGGGACAAAATGGGGGGGGGGCAAAAAATAATTTTGGGTGGCATTTGCCCCCCTTGCCCCCTGTGCCTATGAAGAAATGCAACCAATAATATAGCTATATAATATTATAATAAAACGAAATGCTGAGAATGCAAGCAATTGAATATAATAAGTCAGATAACTATTTTGTTATGTATTTATTAAATTAATAATGGTAAAACTGAAGCAAAGAGCTCACGAACAAAAGTCCCTAGGATACTGTTCGATCAGGATATTATTCTATAAAGAACAAAAGTTTCTAAGGAGAAACGTTTTACAAAGATTGAGACGAAGGCATTTTTTACAACTAGAAGGTGTAGAATGAATGACAGTTTGGTCAATCAGTTGCTCAATAACGACTCCGTACATCCCGGATTAGCATCTATGTAAGAAGCTCATATGTTTCATTCGTGGGAATAAGAAAGAAGAATTAGATTCAGTTTTTTAAGCTATCATGGCAGGAAGATATACTGTATATAGTAAGCATGGTAGGCTACTGGAGGGAGCAAATCAGCAGACTGCCTTGAATTGCACGGATTTCACAAACAAGAATAAATAGAACTGCTTACCAACATATGTTCCAAGACTCAATTGATATTTCTGTTGCTCACTAGTGACAGCGAAGAAATCATATTCTGCGTATTTCTTGTTTCCATATGTATCCTCCATGTCAATACGAAGTTCATTTTGTGCAGCAGTTGTTAGTTTGTAGATTTTATCCAGCCCGAGCCAGAATTCACCTTTCAGATGACCAAAACCATGTTTATAATCTTTCCATCGTCGGTAGAAATCAACACTTCCACCAAGACGACGTTGAAACACAGTCCATCCTCCCCCGGATGTTGTCATAGCACAGGAGTAGTATAGGGAATGAGGGTTCTAGACCACTTTTTCGGCCCGCAATCCAACCCAACTTCCGGTCAGCGGTTTCCATATTTTTCCCCACAATCGCAGGCTCATATTTTTCTAGACCATTTTTCCCGTCTTTTTCTAGACCATTTTCCCCAATTATTTTTCTAGACCATTTTCCCCAATTATTTTTCTAGACCATTTTCCCCAATTATTTTTCTATTATTTTTCTAGACCATTTTTACATTATTTAATATCTGATTTTTCCTCAAGCATTTTTAGGTGACCGTAACTTTCAGATTTTGGTCTAAAGTCTAAATCATCCTTTTTGTTTTGTGTACTTACTCCAATGTTGATATTATTGGATACGGAGAAATTTATATCACCAGTCTTCCCATTCTTAGAACTCTTACGACATCCACAAATCTTACCCAAGCAGGAGAAGCATGACCTCCACCTTGACATTTTATCTTATGATAAACCACATGTTAACTACCTGACCCCGAATATCGAAGTGACCAGCAGAATCAGGGCATTTTTTAAGAATTCGTCAGTGGGGGGGCCATCTACAAAAAGGGACCATACTATACCGAGTGTGGAGCAATGAAAGATGGTTTGTTGGTAACAAAAAGTTTGGTGTGGTATCGCATTTAATAGTAGGAGGGGGGGCAGGGCCGTAGGAAGCTCTTTTCGTTTTGGAGGGGGGGGGGGCGGCTGAAAGCAAGGGCCGAAAGCCCGAGGAAATTTTTAAATTTAGAGTCTCTGAAATGCCATTTCCTGGACTTTGGGGAAGATTTGACAGATTTCTGATTGTCAGAAAACAGCGTTTTTAGTATGTGGAAATTTAGAATTCAGTAGTACTAAATGGGCGAAGGCGTATTTAATTAACGATATATTGGATAAGTTGCAGGAAAGTATGGGTAATATCTTCATTCGTTGCAGTTTGTCATGGATTAAATGATAAAGGTCTGCATGATTTTGAAAAATGAATGATTATTAGCAAATTATTGGGGGCTGCAGCTCCCCAGCCCCCCTCCCCCCCCCTGGAGAGGGTCTGAAGTTTTCTCTCCCAGAAAATTTTTTTATTTTTCTACCCCTATGACTGCAATTCCCTGCATTTTCTGAAACAGATTTTTGGATATACAGCATTACATTATGCTGTAGATAGACTGAACCTTCAGTTAAGTACTTGCATAGTATGTTTATGTAGATACCACAACTTGGCCGTCACTTAGGGAGCCAGCTTGATAAATTTAGAGTTCCCGACTCCCACGAAGCGCCACCATGGTTGGCACAGAGCGGAACAATTTTGCGTCTCTAAATCGTCGGAAATGGCATTTTCAAAGTCTTCTATATGTCTTTTGTTAGGCCCTTTCATTAATTCGTTCATTATGATTTGCGAGTCTATGATATCCGCGAGTCAGGATGGATTATTACGAGAAATGTTATAAAAATATCGATTACTGATATTTGATTATATGTATATATGATTTCAAATACTTCTAGTTTCGAAATCAAATTGTTTCTTTTTTGGTGGTGGTGGGGGGGGCAAAATTATCCCCCCCCCCCTTATAAAACACTTGGTTGAGGGCCTGTTGCCCCCTGCGGTCACTAACTTGTCCAACAACTCAAATCTATAGGGTCTGGGAAATGCAATCCACTGCCTAGGAAATGTTTAAAATCTAATAAAGTATTTATTAAACATAAAAGACAGGACATAAGATTCACAAAGCAAATTTCAGTTACTAGAATATCAAACCTCCCTTCTAAATTCCATGTTTTGCTTATATTTTAGAGAAAAGGGACTTTGACTGGGGGGGCCAAAATGGTTGAGTGGGGGGCCACCATGGGGGCTGGGGGGGCTTTGGCCCCCCCAGTTATATAGTTAAAAAATGCCCTGC